ACATCATGATGATGATGATTATTATTACTAATTATTATTATTATTATTAGAAATCTGACTCTCGCTCACATACACACACTAGACACTCAGTGGAGTGCACTGAATATGGGGCTTGAACTGTGGATCTAAGGATCCACAATCATGAAACAATGACATCCAACAGAGCTTGAATGGCCTGTAGCAGTGTATTCTGGGATACTCTTGGTGGGACAGGCACCTCACTAACCAGGCAGTTGGATATGCTAGGGATCAGGAGGTATAGGGGCTGGTGGGTAGAGGCGGGTCAGGGACGAAGCGAGGGCAGCAGGCATGGAGAGGAGATGAAAGACGGTTGGAATCTGTACGGACAGCTGAAGTAAAAGAGGGCTTAGTGTCACTCAAGATGCCAACAACAACAAAAAGAGGGTCTGGACAACTAGAGCTGAAATTATGGCCATCTAGTTAGTTGGCTAATTTTTTCCCCCTCTGAATGCGAAGAAAGTGCAGCATTACGTTTACAATTTTTTTTTGTAAAAAACATTTAAATACACAAAGCAAAGCAATGACATGCCTGTGCACTCATAAAATCGAGAGCCTATTGTACAAAAGTTAAATGAAAGTTAATTGTTTCTAACACAATAAAGAGTATTCTGCCATTTACTTGCAGTCACTGCGAATTCATTTGTGTCAGAATAAGAAAATATTACTGGCATCTCATCATGCCATATTGCCTGTGGGATGTGTTCTCCCACACAGACAGACAGACAGACAGACAGACAGACAGGTCAGATTATTCTGACATGTGAGGAGTGCTTGATGACTGCTCAAATCATTATTTATTTTTGTTGGTTATTTTGTCTCAGTTAGCTTCTCAACCTTTGTTTTTAGTTTTATTTTTGTTATAGTTTGTTTACTTTGTTTCAATTAATTTCATTTTACTCTGTTTTTAAACCAACAGTCTGATAACCCTGACAGAAGAAATGGAGAACAGGGCCTTAAGTTGATTTATTAATGATTGTATCCATGTTAAACACATACTGTATCTATAATCTGTATTACACTCCCTCTCGGATTTAGTTAAACTGACTAGCACAATTCCTCAATGCCCACTGTGTTTCACTCCAGAGAGTTCATTTCCACAATCATTATGTTGGACTGGGCCTGCTCACATACCTCCATCAGATTCCACTTCATTGGGTAATTTATGACCTGCCCACATGGATTCACTTGCTCCCAGCTGCCCATCACTGTCTGCGGCTGTCCCAGTGAGGAACAGAGCTTCCACTCACTTTATTCCACTCACTAAAATCAGCTCTTTTTCTCTGTCAGATCTCACATACTGCTGTGAAATCATTGTGCTCTCTCTGTCTCTCTCTCTCTATATATATATTTTCCAAGACACGTGAAGAAATACCATACAAGAAGACCAAAATTTAAACGACTATTTATTGCTAATCTTCCCCTCTGCTGAAGCTCTGAAATAAACTAAAGTCGCATGGATCAAACATCTGTCATATTATATTTAAGAGCAGTGGAGGGGAAGATTTTTAGTCATTAACAAACATTGGTCTGTTGATCTTCATCCTATTATCTCCTGGAAGAAAGAAAATAATACTGGCCTGGAACAACATGAAGGTGAGTACAAGATGACAAAATGTAATTTTTTTGGTGAACAACTGCCTTAAGAATGACTAGCCATTTCAAAATGGTAGCAAAATGGAAAACGTTTCAGTTTCAGTAGGAGCTCACAACAGACATTTACCGTCGTAAAGGTGAGGAGAACTACTGTATAATTACAAGGCTATGGAAACTATGATCTAAGAGCAGCTCATCATGTCCCCATGAAAGGGCTCAAGGATAAACAGGTTCAACCTTTAAGCAAGATACATGGGGACAAACTCTGCTGATCACCCTTTTAAAGCCAAGATGAGGGATGAGAGACTCCTTAAGAATTCATCAAGGCAGTCTCTCCCCAATGACACGTGGCCATAAATGTTTGCTGCAGAGAGCACTCCAGACTGCTTCGTCTGGGTGAAGGTCACTCACATGGAAATGTCAAATGTCTCTTCATTGGCATGCCTGAGACAATAAGCAGAGATGAGCACAAATACATCAAAAAGTATATTGTTACAAATTACAAATACTTGCTCATCAAATGTATTTAATTTAAAATACAAAATACTTGTGTGAGAAATATATTTAATTAAAATGGAAGTAATTTGTAATTTGAAAATACAAACAATATCATTTGAAGTGCAAGGGACACTGCCATTACATTTAGTAATACTGGAGTTAGATACACATATAAAAGAAAGAGAAGTGCTTTCCCCTCTTTGAACAACTTATAAACAACATATGCTTTAACCCTAACACTAGACTTTATCGTTTATGTTCCTTTATCGTTTCTTTATCAGCGTGTCAAAAATTAAGCAGTCCTGCAAAACTGTATTGTCATACCACCTAGTCCTACTCAAGAGGATGCTTCAAGCTATTTCACTGTCAACAGTAAAGATTAACTCCTAAAAATGCTGATATTTAGCTGTTAAAGGGCTCTATATAGAATTCAGAAACCCTTGTTATTAGCGACACCGATGGTCGTTAAGTGAGCTATGGCCAGCAATTTATTGCTCATGCTCTTGCGCACACTCCATAGTAATGCGAGCGAGTGATGGCCAATGTGATTCACTGACATCATGTCAACAGATGAGGTTCATTAAAATTACACTGTTATGAAAGTTTCCCTTGGATTTTCCCAGTGAAACTGCCCTGAGTCCTTCACATAAAAAATTAGCCTACAGGCTCTCATTTTTAAAGTTTCATTACATGCTGTTCACACATTGGCAATAAGAAGCGATTTATACCTGAAAATTCTTTCATAAAGCCCCTTAAAAAATTTAATTTTGTCCATTGAAACAAGTAGCTAACTTTAGCTAGCAAGCTAATGTCACTTCTCAGCTAGCAAGCAAAGTTGTAGAGCAGCACAGCTTTTCCTTCTGTCCTGTAATAACATTCAGTGAGCAACACCTGATAGTATATATTTTAGTACATACTTAGACAGTTTGCACTGAGCACCAAAACAGCTTCTTTCATTGTTTTTTTTTTAGTTGGAAGATGGAACCATGGGTGAATTAAAGGGATAGTTCACCCAAAAATGGAAATTCTGTCATTAATTACTCACCCTCATGTTGTATTTTATACCTGTAAAGACTTTCGTTCCTCTTCTTAACAAAAATTAAGATATTTTTGATGAAATCTGAGAGCTTTCTGTTCCTCCATATGCAGCAACGCAACTTACACATTCAAAGCCCAGAACGGTAGGAAAGACATTGTTAAAGGGGTCATATGACGTTGCTAAAAAGAACATTATTTGGTAACGCTTTAGATTACAACCCTCAATGTACTGCCTAAGTAAACAGAATTTACAGCGTAACTTTTTTGTAATTACAGTGTACCTATTCAGTACCTCCGTGTAGGTATAAGGTAACAATATGCGAAGTTTGGGAATAAAGGAGTAATAATTATTTCTACTGTAAGTATTTATAAACTAAGGGTACCTATTCTAATATTACGGGGTATGTATGACCTAACAATCTTATATTTGCAAGCGATTAAGCAACCAAAACAGCTTCTTTCATTGTTTTTTTTTTAGTTGGAAGATGGAACCATGGGTGAATTAAAGGGATAGTTCACCCAAAAATGGAAATTCTGTCATTAATTACTCACCCTCATGTTGTATTTTATACCTGTAAAGACTTTCGTTCCTCTTCTTAACAAAAATTAAGATATTTTTGATGAAATCTGAGAGCTTTCTGTTCCTCCATAGGCAGCAACGCAACTTACACATTCAAAGCCCAGAACGGTAGGAAAGACATTGTTAAAGGGGTCATATGACGTTGCTAAAAAGAACATTATTTGGTAACGCTTTAGATTACAACCCTCAATGTACTGCCGAATGCTTTGTTTGCACAAAAAATATAATTGACAACTTTATGAAAATATTGATCTGCATTGTGCGTTCATGAGAGCATCCCAATGCATTTGTGTTGTGTTCACGTGATTGAAGACTTGTGCGTCAACACAACGCACATGAGTGAGTGTTCACTAGAGTTTCCACGACACGTGTTTGGATAATATTTTCGTAAATAAAGTGGTAAATTATGTTTTTTTGCGTAAACAAAGCACTCACGTCGCTTCATAAAACTGGATTACTTAATAATGTACTTAATGACATGGATTACTTGATGTCTTTCCTACCGTTCTAGACCCTGAATGTGTAAGTTGCATGGCTGACTGTAGAGGGACAGAAAGCTCTCGGATTTCATCAAAAATATCTTCATTTATGTTCCGAAGATGAACGAAGGTCTTACAGGAGTGGAACAACACGAGGGTGAGTAATTAATAACAGAATTTTCATTTTTAGGTGAAATATCCCTTTAAGACTCCGCCTATGGATCCAACAGGATGTCATATGATTCAAAATGACCTACTTGATTAAGTATTTTATTTATTTTTAAGTATTTTATTTAATTTTAGTATTTCAAATACAAAATACTGTCTCTCAAATTATTTAATTACAAATTACATTTTATTTTTTTTGTCCGGCAAAATACAAATGATAAAATACTCAAAAGTAATTAAATATGTATTTTAAATACATTTATTTAAAATACTGCCCATCTCTGACAAAAAGAACGCTGTGCCGCTATAGCTCCACTTCATCAACGCCATTTAACAGCAATGACACTAATGAGCAGTCATTTACTCCTTATTAAAGGTTTTATACCTGTGTCATGTTAATAACTTCTAACAGGCAGATAATGGAACACTTCTAGATGGTGAAGGAGAGGTAACGCAAGTGTATTTTAATTGATTTTTGTTGATATTTAGGAGTGTGTGGGTAAACACATGATTTCAGCTGATTGCCAAGATCAATGTGACTTATGGTGCTGTGCATATTAAACCCAGTGTAGGAGTGCGATATTTTTGTGTTATTCATTAAAGAAGGTCAGAGGTGGGCTTACCATTCTGAACATCTAAAATGTGGTGTTTGTCTAGGGTCCATCCTCCCATGTTCGAGGCGTCGAGTTCATAACCTTGGAGGATGGCTGTTCTTTTCTCCCACAAGATCAGATCCAAACAGGACTCATACTCAAATCCCACAGACACTGTAGAGAGACAGATTGGTGTTATTCGTGTATGCAAATACAAGTCTTGAGAACTGCTTGAGAAAGTAATCAATACAGACTAAGTCTAAACCCCACATTAAGTGGCATGCAGATAAATCATCATATAAACATTGGGCTGATAAACCACACTCATTCCCAGGGCCTAATCAGATGTCCTACACAATATCAAGTCATCTTTACTGCAGCCTGCCTGAACACTGCAGTGTCTCTATCATAACTTTGGTAAATCTCATAACAGATCTGCGCTTCACCAGGTGCAAATCGTTTTAAATTTATAACTGTTTTCAGCCGATCACATTAAGAAAGCGACCTTATGTCCCCCAGAGAGAATCAATAAGCGCACTGCTATTTGTTGGGCAAAAAAATTACCTGCTTAATGCAATTGGCAAAGCAAAGCCTGATGAGAAGGTGAAAGCCAATCAATACTCGTGAGACCTAGCTAAACTATTTACAATTTTACACAGTTCACTTTGTAAAGGCAGAATGCATTCCTGACTTGGTGAAAAATCATGTCTTTTGTGGTTCAACATCTTGTGAGTTTGTTTATGTAAGGCACTGAAAAGCATGTCTAGTTTAGTCTGGCCTACTGCCTGCCACATCATCAGCTGAAAATAAACTGAGGCACTGTCATCAGCAGCAGGCCGTCTTTCTCAATACTTAAGTGAAAAACAAAGCCACAGATTCGCCTTGACCTTCCTCAAAACAGAACGAAGCATGTTGTTCTCTGTGGTTTTGCTGATGGGTAATCATACAAGCTACAAAATACAGTCAGCATAAAAAATGCCACAGTGAAAAAATCTTTCAGAGGAAAAAAATTGCTTCCTTTGCTATTGTTGGCCTTAATCATCTGCTTTGTTTTACATTTACAGCTCCTATTTGCATAGGTATATTTAAGGAGACATCCCATAATGCAACAACTGTCATTGTGGCACGGGCCATTAAGCACATCTACATTCTTGCATGTAACAAATTCAGGCTTTCTACAGAGGGTAATTATATTATTCCTCTACTCTGTGCATCTAGAAAAACAGTATGTGATAGTGAGGTTGTTGTTTACAAGCTCAACAACACTTGCTGATTTAATATTAAATATTAGTAAAGATGTAAAAAAATGCTGTTAATTGTGAGGCAGTTTTGAAAAAAATTTGAGTTTTCAGCAAAGGTGTGATGCTACATCAATTTACACTCAATTAACAGAATCTTACAAAAAATATAACTGGATTAAAGTGAAAAAGTTTTCACATTTAATTGTGCTTTCAATATAGAAAAGTAAAAAAAAAAAAAATCTCTGATCTCTGCGTGTTTACTCACCCACAGCCTCTGATAGGCCATAAACTCTTTGGTTGTATGCATCTGTTTTATCCCAGATGAAGGTGTAGGACAGGTTGGGTTCTGCAGGGAACCACTTCTGAAAGAGACGTCCCACCACTGCCACCATCAGATGCACCTTCATGAGGTTAAAGGGGATAGTGGCTTGGGTCATGGTCACCTTGAGCACTGGCCGGTAGCCAGACGCCCGCGAACTCAGATACATAAGGTTCAGGTCGCTACCCGGAATCGCCGTCTCCTCCTGAAGAACCTGCACATCAAAGAAAGAAAGAGGTGAAGATAAATGAAGATGGGGGAGAGAAGGAGTGACTCGGGGGCATCTGGAAGAGGCATTAGAGCTGAGAATGAGGCCTCCAATTTTTCTCTCTGCAGGATTAAATCACATCTGTGCCTGTGTTTGCTCTGACCACAATTTACTTGACATCTTGGATCTAATGAGGGAGATTTTCACGGGCGGAACATGCTTATGTTTGCATCACTGTCGGAGGCTATTACTGTACCACATTCGACATGCTCGACCACGAGAAATAGTCAACAGACAGAGCAGTGTGGGCCACTACTTGCAGTAGAAGAGTTCAAACTGGATTGATTTTAGACTTTGAAACAGCTGGCCTATCGTGCCGGATGAAACACAAGCGTGCAGTTAGAGGCATTTAAAGGTGCTCCTGGTGAGGAGTCACCCAAGTTCAGAGCATTAGTGCTGATTTCTCTCCCTCTTTGAGATGCACAAAAGGAGCACAGGAGATGAGGAGCAGCTTGGATCAACAGAGCGATTCTGCATCACAGCTTTCTCCTCAAGTGCTTAATGAAAAGCCAGTCAAGCCACTGAGGAAAGACAGTAATCCCCCTGTCTTCCAGCTCATGGCATTGTCAAGTGTCCTACTGGGAGGGGACATTTACTTTTCTCTAACACAGAGGACAAAGGGAGCCAGAGGGAATTTCTTTTCTTCTCATTTTTTGGTTTGGACGCCGCTGCACTTTTCTAGGGATCAGTAGAGGGGGCCAGATGGCTTTGGGAGAACCTTTGATATGCATTCTCTGGCTGCGACAACAAAAAACCCAGGCAAACAGGAAACTAATGGTAAGTGGGCGATAAAATAAAAGGACAGCAAGTTAAGACAAAGTTTGGTGGTTTTAACTGCCATTTGTACACACACACACACACACACACACACACAGGTTTGTTTTTGGGCAGACAGACATGACTGTAGCATTATGCTCTCAATTTGAAGGGCCAACGTGGCCACCCTAACACTAGCTGATGCCATCCACATGTGTTTGTGCATACCCCATGCTCGTAGCCTTTCTTAAGAGCGTCTATAAGCCACAGTGCATTCATGCTATGCACCGGCCTCCCCTCTGTGAACTTTGATTACGGAGTCTGAGCTAACAACATGCTTTACTCCGCCTGCTATAAGCTCTTAATAAATGGCACCGCATGCGCTGCCGTGTCTCTACGTGTGCAGCCGTGTTATTCTTAGCCACGGGGGCAAGGGCCATAAGTGCGCATGGCTGCATTAAAGCAAAATATTTTCTCATTTGCCAAATGAAAGGGAAGATGAAAAAGGCTTTGAAAGTTCATTTGATACAGCCCATTAAATGCACAGTAATAAAGACCAGATTGAGTTTTATCATCAAGCATTTTTTTCATGGTAAGAAAGGAAGCTAGTGTTTCTGCGAAAAGCCAAAAAGCAGCCGAATCAATGCACTCTCATTACATTTAGAGGTGTTATGCTTTATAGGACATAGAATATATGAAGCATATATTGAAGCAAAAACACAAAGCATGATGGGAAATCATATGTACCTTTCATTCACTAAATGTCTCATCTGATTTTCCACTGTCTCATGGAGGTTTTCTCTGGACGTGAAAATGTGCCGTTCTCCTCCAGCCAAATACAATTTTTTCCAGGCCTGCACGACGGCCAAGTGGAAGCAATATGCCTGCCCGTTCGGTGTCACGGCCGCTAAGCGTTACGAGTGCTGGATGAGGGGGGCTGAAGGATGTCTGTTTGCCATTTGTGTGTGACGCTCTGGTTAAAAAAAGACCTTGGAGGCCATTACAGCTGAGGTCCAAAAGCCCCATATTAAATGCTAACTTGGTTGGGTCTGATTACCCCTGTTTAGAGTTCCTCTCAAAGCAGGCTGTAATTCAAATCAGGGCCCATCTACTTTGATGAGTGGGGTTCCACAGAGGGGACAGACGCCCCTGTTGGGACCGAGGAGAAACATGGGAAGAGGAATGTGGCCTGTTACATATGCTGCCGACAATAAGGAAACAATTTTTTCTTCTTTATGTCTTGGAGCAAACTCGTAAGACAGCATATGTGTTGGCCCTGAGTGCTCGCATTACAGGGGATGTTCCCCCCGCCACATGCCACAGAACGATAAGAATGGAAAGGCCGAGTTATAGAGGAACGGATCAAATGCACATCTGGACACAAGGTAGGTAGGGTGGAAGAGAAAATACAGACAGGATAGAGCCAAGTTTTGTGAATCTCTAAATAAACAACAGCACTCACTTCACATGGCACAGAAACACGTGACTGAGGAATTCAATATCGACTTTTATTTTGCCTTTCTTTTTATCATAACAGTTAGCTTTAAAGGATCAGTTCACACAAAAATTAAAATTCTGTCTTTTTCAAAAGCCATATGAAAGTCATTATTCCTCATCAGTTGTTAACTGCATTAGTGAATCATTCATTTGATTAATAAAAAAAAGAAAGATTGACTCATTTACAAATTAAACACACCTAATTCTCATTCATTTTCATTATATTTAAAAGAGTGGCCAGGATTTTTTTTAATATACCTTTTGTGTTTCACAAATAAAGAAAGTCACATGGGTTTTGAACAACAAGGTGGTGAGAATAATAGAAGAATTTTCATTTTTGAGTGAACTATTCCTTTAAGACCTTAAAACTTGTTTTGTTCAAGCATGCTTTTATATTCATCTCCCCAAAGACCTGGTGATTTATTTGCTCTGATGTGGGTCCAGTTTTCCTTTTTTACAGACAGGCAGCAAGAGGCTTGAGTCATTTTAACAGATTATGTAGGGGATAGCGCATGCGGATTTGCACAATACAAGGAACAAAAGGAGGGTGTGCAAAAGGATATAAAATTCTGACCAATATCTCCACAATATGTGGGGTTGCTCTGAAGGCTGTAGTGATTTCTAGCTCTTCCCAGTGCCACACTAAGATTCAAAACACTTTTTCCTCTGAGTACTGCATGCTGGGTACAGGTTGAGGGAAACGTTTTTAGCACCATCACTGTTCTCAAAGGCTCCTTCTTTTGTGACTGACTGAACAGTGTGCAGAGCACGTCTAGACTCATTGCATACTCATTCATATCATATGGCTGCTGCTATATGATACCCTCTTCTCTGCATGTAAATAAATGACCATTCAGTATCCAGCTGACCTATTGAAAACAATGTTCCATTTACAATGGTGAATTGGCACTTTGGTGGGAAGGAAAAATCTGGATTGTTTTAGTTTTTGGGGTCTGCATCACTCACATTGTGGCTAGTAAGGAGTCCAACCGAGCCTTACCTGTGTCTCTGGAATGATGGGGCCGTTTTCGGGTGAGGATCGGAAGAAGGTGGAGAGTGGTGTGGCCACAATGAGAGGGCTGGGTCGAATGAAGCCACTCAGGTCACAGCTGGGGATGTCGTTTTCCTCTTTCTTCATTACCAGCATGTCCATTACGTAGAAGACATTCCACGGGATCCATACTGTACGGAATTGCGTCAGAAACGGTGCCCGCTCGAAGCTCAGCGTCAGTGATGCTCCGCCATTGGCCAGAATGTCATACCTTCAAAAATGAAACAGGAGTGTACTTATAAATTCCAGTATTTACTTTGTACAAAAGTTAACTGAATTTGATATACACATATAAAAAATCTCAGGACTGTCATACTCTCTTCATTAGGTATGCATAATATGCAGGTAATGTACTGCGGAGGTGAAAAGTGAGTAACTGAGATGAATTAGACATGAGAGCCGATGGCTAGACCTGGTTTAATTGTCTCTTGCTTTAACCTTCCTGATCCCAGTGCAGGTCTCCTCTGAGCCAAGTGTTTCTAAGAAGGCCCTTTCCTTCCTGACACAGGGCCTTGCCACGGTGAAAAATGCATGATAATGTGGCTGAGCCTTTTTATAATTGCGTTTGTGTAAAAGCCAAAACTCTCCCTCGACTCTCTCTCTCTCACTGTTGCCATTAAAGATTTATTAGAAAGGAAATGAGTCAGGAACTGCGTGTACTGTCCTATATTCTGATATTTTGCAAAGGCTGCAGGGGGGAAAAGCAAGATAGGGCAGAAAATATGCATGTAGAAGTGTAAGAATTCGCTCACGCATGCGCAAACATACACACACACACACAGAGTATCTAAGCAGCTCTGAAAGAGAGGCTACTGATGATTGGTCTCTAACAGCTGCGTAGCTGGTACTCTGATTCCCTGTTGGAGTAAGTGGATGTGGAAGAGGTGTGGGCATGATTATCCACTACCATTTTACAGTCTGCCCCACTGTGGTGTTCAAGTGCTGCAACAGCTGGCTGAGTGGGCTAATCTCGGACACACTCTCCCTATCTATAGCCTGCCCCTTGCACTCTCTCTCTTTCAGTCTGGGTCTCCTCCCTCCAGTCCAACCTCTTCTCTCATCACATTTTCTATTAAACATATCTCTTTGGCATATATATGATAAAATAAATATATAGAGAAATACAAAATTACAATAAAAATGACAAAAGCACATTAAAAATGACTAAAAATTAAACTAAATAAAAAAAGAATATAAATAACATTAAAATAATACTGGTTTTTCAATGAAAAAGTACTACTATAAAAGCAGTCTTGTGAGCTGCATTTAAAATCTTCTGAAGCTATCATAGATTTTTGTGATAAACAGAATCGAAATTTAGGTCTGCACTAAAAATGTAAAGCTCAAATCACATATGGCACCTTTAGATGTGTTGCATCAGGTCTGACATCAGTGACAGCTTTTGTGCGCCACAGAAGAAAGTAAGTCATACTGGTTAGGACCGACATGTGGGTGAGCTAATAATGACAGAATTTTCATTTTTCATTCAACTATTGTTTAAAGACTTGACCTGACCCCGTTCAGTCCACCAACTGCACATAAAATGTCTTTTCAGTAATTCTATCTTTAATTACACTGAATTCAATTCAAATTTGTTCAATTCAATTGCAAACCTTATTTCATTTCCTTTCTGCTTAATTTCTGCCTTTTAGCCATTCAGCACTGACACATGACAGTACATGATGGGCATGTCACAGTCCCCTCTCCTTGAACAAAGATGTCTGCTTAAAGAGCTTTTGGTTGCAGTCCTGAGGCCTTCGTGATTGCGGTGCTGCTGCTCCTTAATAATACTGGGATTGGTTTAACTGTATGGGAGAGTGTGGCCCATTGGCTGATTGATTCCACTCTTGTAAATCCAATGCATTTTAAACAGGCTGTTTGCTAAAGCACTGCTTCCTGAAGCAATGTCTGACATTTTCATGAGATGATCTTGGTAGATAAGACAGCACGCTATAAAACACATGCATGCATGCACACACACACACACACACACACAAATTGTTGTGGAGCCATAAGAAGTTGTGTATTCAATCAAAGTTTTCACACATTTATGTATGTTTTATGCACAAGTACTAAACATAACTAAACAGATGGTTTTGGTGACATCTGTACTCTGTGCTATATTATGACATCCGGTCATTCAAGGACAGAAACACTATGGAAGTGTGTATAGGATGTGTGTCTGCTTATGTTTTCAACCTACATGCCATCCTGCCTTGTGATGGTGAATCCGTGGTCTGGGTAGTGCACAAAGGACACGTTGACTCCAATCAGGGGTGTACCATCTGCAGTGAGCACCTGCCCTCTGATAATGGACACCAGGCTGCAAAACAAACACACATGGTCGGTAAGAAAACCCCCCCACACACTATTAATATGATTTACAGCATGATTGAACATGGATTCCCTAAGCTTTCACTGCAGTGTTAAAATGTCTAACCCACTGTAAATAACTAGAAAGCACACAAAGTCTGTCTCTCTCTCGCTCGCTCTCTCACACACACACTCCATGCTTATTTATGTGACTCTTGTCTCCCCGTCTCTATAGGCAGTCATAATTCAGTCCCCTAAAGGCTCCAGTGGGATTCTTATGTCCTTAATTCCCAAGGCAGATTTTCCTTCGAGGAGCTTCATAAGGATCGATGTGGGCAAAGCTTATGTTTGAAGAACTGTAACTTTCCCACAGGGGAATAAATAGCTAAAATACGTAGGAATCCTGCATTGTCAATTACTTTTTTTGAATAAGCGGTTGTCTTTCAAATCCTTTAAAAAAAAAAAAAAAAAGATACCTTTTAACATATATATATATTTTTTACTTAAACTGTAGAACTTTTGAACTGTAAGCGAAAGGCATGACTGAATGACCAAAGCGCACATGTATACAGAAATTCTTAAAAATATAATATTTTAATTTAACTTTTTTTTTTCTGAGCAAATATTGATACATTTGATCAAATTCAAATTCAAATGTATTTGTATAGCGCTTTTCACAATACACATTGTTTCAAAGCAGTTTTACAGAAAATGCACGTGTCTACATTACAATTTAGAGTGATAATTAGAATTTAGAATTCAGAGTGATCAATTTCAATTCATTTAATATTAACTGGCATTTCTAATATAATTAAAATTTTTTAAAATCAACTTATAGTTCTAACAAAATAAGAAAACATCCAAGAGAATTACAGCCTGGGCAGAAATTGACTTCACTGCAGTGTTGAGGACACCTCACTCTACTTATTGGCTGATTTTCCAGGTCATTACTGCTTTTCTGGGGGCCTAATCAGCAGTGCAGCAGTGAATCAAAGTGTGGCGTCGTCCCTCACTTGGAGCTGGGATAAAGGAAGTGTGGAAATGACCCTAGGGTCACATGCACAGGTAAACATTCCATAAATAAGATGCCGTTCCTCATGATGTGACCATAACTCAGAAATCCCATTTGCTTTGTACGAGATAATAAAACAATAGTGTCCAGTGTTAGCTGCCACAGTCTGAGAGTCCTAAAAGCATGCTGTAATTCACACTCCTCAGCGCTGTATTTCTGTCTCTTTTGCCCTGAAAACCACACGTCACACTTGCTACTCGCTCTGCATGTTTACCACATGCTCTGAGGGCACCATGACTGCAAAACCAAGGTTAATATTGCTTACTCAAACTGCTATGAAGATGAAAGCATGAAGGAAAAAAACAATACTTTTGTTAACTAAGACAACAATAATGTGAGTGTGCAAAAATCCAAAAAATAAAACTACAAATGTGTACTATAATATGCTCAAAAACAATAGAAAAATTAAATGAAATACATAAATATGTACTCACTAATTAAAACTTAAATGAAAAAAAACAACAATGGAATAATCAAACAATAATTTTATATATTTCAAATACACAACCAATTACATCCAATTTTACAACATATTTTTTAAGATCATACACAGCCTATGACAGCTTCCCTTTCCTCTCTCTAAGAATAACCTTCATGATGTTGCCATCACAAGGATTATGGCTGGATCCAGGTGGACATCTACCAAGGTGCCCTAGGTTATTCACTTCACTCTTAAAGGGTTCACACAGATGTGCTTTTCTCTGCTACTCCGGACCGCTGCCCCTCTCAATACTCTAGTTGTTTTCAATCCAAACCTCGCTGCTTAAAACACCGTCCATTTTGTCAACATGCACCATGCAGAAGCTTAATCTGCTTAAAAGGCCCCTTAGTGCTCGGAAGCATGTAGCAAAATGAGCCAGGCGTTCAGGTGAACGGATGGCTAAAGATGACATAGAAGAAACATCTGGAGAGAGGCTGCTGGGATGGGTATATGACATATACTTAATTCCGGAAAATTGAGGAGCTGGCACTTTTGCTCCAGTGGCATGTTGTTTTACAATGCTTATGCTGCGAATCAATAGGTAGTTACCCTGAGGAAACACACAAACAGCAACTGTTTCTTAGCTGGATTTTCTTTGAAACCTGTTTGACCCAGAAGGCAGAATGTGGGGATATATATAACCGGATTCACAATATCGGTCTTTCTTCAGTCAGACAAAATATATATCTGTGCTGTGTCCTTTTATCACCATTTGTCGTTTTAAAACAAAAAACAGTCCTGGATAAAAACCTACAATTTGAACTGAACTACAGTGAATACAAAAACCAGAGACTGTAATGTTTACTTAAACATTTGTATTATTTAGCGAGCGATTATTCTATTTTATCATGAGCTGGGAGGATGAGGGAGCCTGGTACACATGGTTTGTGTTACATACGATGACTGCCAAACAAACTCTCCAGCCAAAATGACCGATATTCAGCACAGATGTGCCCCGCGTGGGTTTGTGCATTTATTTTTAAATCACATTAGTCTACACCTCCCTTTATCAGATCAGTCTTTATCTTGCCACAGAGGTATTTAAAGGTTTAATGTCCTCACATATGGGGCAACGGCTTTGGGCCTATTAAACTCTTTGTTGTAGCTAATCGTGTTATCTGTTATGACAATTTTTGAGAGTAATCAAGCTAACTTCAATGTTATTTCCATCTTAACAGAACATGTGCATTGAGTTATGCATAGGAGGCAGGGGAAGAGATAAACAAACTGATCGTTATTGCATTATTATCACGTATCAGTCAAATTGAAACGTGACTGTGAGCATTTGTGGTGTGATCAGTCAGCCTGCTTTGTGTTTTTAATTCCTGGTTTCCATAGATATTAGCTTACACACCCACTGAATATTAGTCAGACACAATAAAAAGGAAATTGCATTAAAAGCGCAAAAAAGCAAGGAAGGACTTGAATTAGCAACAGCCGCTTAATTGACAGAGCAAAAGGAACAAGCAAGGTAAAACGAAGCCATGAAGGCAGCTGACCATGACAACTAAGAAATGATTATATCCATTCAAGCAAAGAGAGAGAAGATGCTTCGGACAAACCCACGCTCTGGAGGTGACGACATAATTAATAGCACTGCTTATTCAAGCGGGTTATTATCGGATCTAACATCTCTTTCCAATAACTTTTATGGTGGTCTCACATACACAATGCAAATCGAGGCGCATAATTTGTAAATTACACTTTAATGCAACCTCAGAAAATCTTTCTCTCTGTAACCCGGGTCACACAGTTCTTAGGAGGTTTTGTCAGCACATCTGTTTCCATGGCAACTGTATGAAGTCTTTAAGAGGGCTGTTAGGAGCAATTGTTGGGGGTCTCTGGAAAGCAGAAACTAAAGGATTATAACAAAACGAGACTATTCTATATGCTTATCATATGACACCAGGTCAGCCAATCAATTGTAGTTAATGAAATAATTAGACATGGGCAATCCATAAAATTTACATCACAAGCTGTCATAATTATTATAATTTTTTTTAAGTTTCAGCTAGGCCAGTCGGGTCAGTAGATCAGATCAGTACTTGCTGTTCCAATGCCAATGTTTAAACGTTAAGTTCTATGCTGAAAAAGAACCCCCCCCACCAAAAACAAACTCCATGACAGCAATAAAATCCCACTTTTGCTGGAAATGATATGGCATATGCTGTGAACCATGACTGATTTGTTTATAATCTTCTATCGTAACTGATCTAAGTGAAAACTATCACAATGATTCTTGCAATCTGTCATCCACATGGATTACTTCATTGACTTTTTGAACTCTGCACAATAATATTCAATACATCACACAAAAACCCAGTGGACTGGTATAAAACACGTTTACATGGTCAATGTAAGTTGTAGTTCATCACATGCCTGATAAAACCTGGGCCTCTGGGGCATTCTTATTGTTAAGCACTGATAGACTCCTCGCTATTTAAGGTTTAATTTGCTCACTGCAGCAAATACTGCACATATCCCTACCTTCTGTTAAAGGGGTTGTCTCCGTTAATAACATGCGTGCTCTCTGGGCCAATGAGGAAGCTGATTTGCTGATAGAATGACTGGGCGGCTTGCTGTGGGCTTGCGGGTTGGTTCTGGCCGATGATGTCGATGGGGTCAGGAGAGCCACGGCAGAAGGGTTGAGTCTGACACGAGCTCTGCAGGCAACAGTCCGGATCCATACAGTCCACCAGGCCATCTGCACACAATGCATATTAAAATATGAGGTGCTATGTGTTAAAGAGTCTTATAGCATATCCTATGTCCTGTCTTACAGATCCTGTCACATTGCTTGTAGTGTGAGAGAAGTGAAACGTGTTTGCGTCTATGCTTCATATACTATCCACCCATTTGTTCCCTCACCTTTAGGGTCAAAGACATGACTGCAATATCCTCTCTAGCTTCTTTCACATTGTCAAGACTCTCTCTCTCGCCTCTATCAGTAAACACCTGGTGAATGCTTTGTGTGGAAATGCGGTCTGATCTCCCGCAGGTAAGTGCCATAAACCTCTGCCATCCGTCTCAGCTAGTTTATATAAAGCACCGTGTACATCTGGCACACCATCACAGGGGAGTTGTAAAAGAACACATGTGTAAACACACACACACACACACACACACACATGCAAACACATGCTTTTGTTGCGCTAATCAGTATGAGACCAATTCTTTTTTTTTACTGCACCCTGAGCTGACACTGCTCTGGTGAGATCGAGACTGAAAGTGTCTGACTGTTTGTTTTGTCTTCCGAGTGTCCCAGCACCCCCTGCCAAAAGCACCATGCAACTTCATGTGAGATCTGGACCTCTCGTAACTCTCACACTGCTTTAAATCCGGTCCGCTATGGCCAAAGTCAACACACACATGAAAAAATATCTCCAGAGAGAGCAGAATCTGTTAACATATCTTGCTCAGGTCACACAAAACAGAGGTCACGTAATGGGATCTTTGGACATGTATATGTATTTAAGGAGAAATGTATTTATTTTTTACGTTTGTTTATATAAAGACCTTCATGTTCTCATCTTTTTATGGCACTTCTTTGTAATGGCTAGTTAAAGGAAGCCAAATTCAAAGAAATCTGCAATACCTGGCACGATTACTGTACGACTGAGAATATATCATAACCTCACTGTATATTTCCCTTTCCGCTTTGGAAAAACATCAAAGCCTCTTGTCAGGCTTCCAGAGGACTATAAATCCTTCAGATTTACGATGTTACAGACCACATTATCTCCAACTAGAAAAATAAACTCCTCAAATACTTTGGAATTGCGCTGTGTTTAAAGGTTCATGCATTCACCTCGGTGGAGAAGATTTTTAGCCATTTTTGTGTGGAGGAAACCTCATGCTGGTCCTCAAGCGTGCACGGAACCTCACATGTACCAAAAAGTTCTGTATCCAAACACACACGCCCTGAATGCAGGATCGGTGGAGAAGGATTTACAGCCGCTCGCCCCTTGAGCAGGCCTGCCACTTTTGTTAAATGTAAGCAAAGAGAGATGCTCTGTTATTTATAGAGTCGGTCACCCCTGATGTCTGTCAAGACAAGAATCGTAACCTCCAGAATCTAAGCTAACCTCTAGTTTTTAGATTTGCTTGTCTTTGGTCTTAAGGCCCCGATATACTTCAAACGAAGTTCGTTTTCGTTCTTCGTTTGGGGGCAAAAAGAAGTTTGAAAAGGCTGAGCGACGGTATACTGTTTCCGAACATTTGATTAATGTAAACATACATGTGTCGCGACGCTCCCGCGTATCCCCTAAACACAACAACGATGAAATGAAGAAGTGTAGGCAATCTAGGTGTGAGACGGACCCCAATGGTCAGAATATTATAGACAAAAGAATAATGATTAGCAGCAGTTCAGAGTCAAGTATCATGTTTGCAATACAAAAGAACCATTCCTTTCCCATAATCAGTCCTTTATGGGAAGTGTGAATGGCTCATAGTCTTAAAACTTTAGCATGTTGTGGAAAAAAATATTGGAGTCAGTTTGTTACTTTATTTAATTAGTGTTCATTTATTTTATTAAACTGGATAAATTGTTACACCTTTTTATATTTTATGTGGTGTCATGATTTACTTTTGATAAAAACAAAGGTTTATTATTGTATGTTCGTTTGGCATTTCATTTATTGTATACACTTTAAATTTGCTTATTGAAAGAACAACAGCAGCAGCAGCAGTATGGTGTAACATTCACTTGAAACACATGTATTTGGTACTTGCTACATTATATCTTTACTCTTTCCTTTCATTCTTTTCATGGCTTTGGAAAACTTGTCTCGGATGTTTCTCTACGTCGCTTTTTGCATAACTCTGGGTCGTCGACACCAAGCTTCGTTGCAATTTCTTTCTAGGAATTAAATCTTTGAATCTTTAAAGTCTCTCCGCGAGCGATCGTACAGGTGCGGATATATTTGTGCCAGCTCAGCTATTCGACACTCCAGTGTATTCATGTTGCTAGTGACTAGGAGATGTTGTTCTCCTGTCGGTCCTCCGTGGAATGATAAACGAACTGGGAAAAAAAAAACGCACGTCAAAGAAGGTGGAGTTTCAGAACACACCCACCGATTGCGTAACCGCCACGGACCAATGGCAGCTCAAAGGTGTTTACGAGCCAAAACGAACTCCCCCAGAAAGTTCGCTTTGGTCAGCTGTTTCGAACTGCAGAAATGACAGTCATATCAGTTCGTTCTTCGATTTCGTTTGAAGTATATCAGGGCCTTGAGGGTCATGTCTTAGTGTGCTATATTCTGATGGGCTGAAGGCTATGGGATACCACAGTGAAAAACAGAGCGACTCTTATAAATCAAAACATGCTTAACTTTTCTGTACCACTTGACTGTAAACAATGATTTTTCGAAGTTGTAAAAAAAAAAAAAGACAACAAGATTGGTCCATGTTTGGTGTGTTTAAAACCTGCCTAAAAACTTTATCATAACTTTTATTGAGGGAGAAGAAATTCCAATGTCAGTTGTTTCATAAACATATAAATATGCACATTCTCGACCTGATTATCATTGACACATATTTATCTGATGTTTACATAAACTTTTCCATATGTATATATGTGTGATGCATCCCATTTAAATTTTATAACGTTCATCCGTCCAAGTCACTGGTGACCTCACCTCCTTCATTGTCCTTGCCGTCTGCGCAGAGAGTCTCCATGGCAACGTCACAGCCGGCCCCTCTCCAGCCTGGTTGGCAGACACAATGCCAGCCATTCTGATCCAGCGTGCAGCGTCCATTACTGTTGCACAGACCTGGGCATCCCTCTGCAGAGACAGACAGAACCGTCATACACTAGTACGGACGTGTGTGTGTTCAAATGTGTTAGTCAAGTATGTGTATGTTTTTATATTTATGTGACCATATTCTCTGTGTCAGTTGTTCTGTTGTCATTAAAAATCATCATATGTGGCCACAGTGGGACACAATGTGTCTTCGACTTGTGAAACAGAAATGGTAATCTAAACAGATATACACTGAGATCGTCGTGAATGAAAGTAAGGGTTTAAAGGTGAATACAGACTGACGCTGGACTTCAAACAGGCCTAGTGAGATGCACAGAGGCTGTAGATTCACATGGATGTAACGGATGCTCTCTCGACACAACCAATCAATTTAAAAGGGATGGCATACATCTGTGAGGAAATCAAGGTGAGACCCAAAAGTGCAAATAACCGATTGAGGAATCCAAATGAGAACCCATAAAAAATTATTTAAAGAAAATTAATTAAAAAAAGAAAATTGAATTTAGAAGGCGAGATCAAAGGAAGGGATATAAGAGGGTGAAGGAATAATAAATCAGCAGAGGCATCCATGTGAAGCTACGGCACACAGAGAATCCCAGTGGCATAAAGTATAGGGTGGACGTCTGAGCTGGCGAGAGAGTGTGTGCTTCCAGCGCTATACTTTCTGCCCAGGTCACATTCCGCCGGACGGAATCAGAGGAAAGCAAGAGAGGCCAGGGGGAGGGAAGGGGAGGATTGTGGGAGAAGCTAGGCTAACAAACACCAGGGGTCAGGCTGCGGGATGCATGGAGACAGGACCCACAGGATTCCCAAACAAAACTCAAGGACCACAGGTGTGTTTGTGTGTAAGTGCATGTCAGTAATTGTGTGTGTGCGCGTTTATGTGAGTGTGTGTGGCTTGTTCAAGACAAACAATGATGAATTTGGCAGATATAAAGACAACAATAAATACAGCGAGGAGACTAGAACATTGACACGCTGACATCGTGCTTCAAGACAAAAAATTGAAGGAGGGAGAAAGAAAGAAAGCAAGAAAGAAATAGAAAGAAAGAAAGACAGAGACAGCAGAGTGATTGCTTGTGACAGTCTCCCTGGGGCTTTGGTATGCATTACCTTTAAATCCTATCCTCTCTCCTATTATGGGGCCGGGAGGGAGGAAAATTCGGGAAAGAAAATTAACAAAAAAAATCTGAGCACTTGAGTCCAAGTGAAGGACGATTCAGAACACAAAAACACAGAAGGGAAAGAGAGAGTAAGGAATAAAATGACCATAAAGCGGAGAAAAGGAAAGAGGAGCTTTGAGAAGGAGGAAGGCGAGATGTTGAAAGAAGAGTGGGAGCTGTTTCGACTTTGGCCGACTCCGTCTGGAGGATTGCCATGGCGTGTATATTGTGTTATTCAATGCATGAATAAATACCATACTAAGAAACACTACGTCCCATGTCTGTTTAGTATTGTATGAGTGAGAAAATGAAAGAAAAAGAAAAAGCAACATGGAATGTGATAAAACATGATAAAAACAAGCGAGAAACATGCTCTGAGCTAACATATTGAGGTTTGGAGAAAAAGTATCAAAGTAAGCCCGTAAGAGTTTAAGAAACATCTTAATGTTTAAAAAAAAAAAACCTTGTGAGAGTACTTGGCGGTCTGATGCACCATATGCCAGTTTGTGAGTCTGGAATCACACTTGGCTTAGCACTGATTTAGCCCTGTGAAATCATTTCCAAAAACACCTCAGTAACAGTAAACAAGAATCTGCTAGTATCTCTTCTCTTGATCTCAATTTACACTGCCAGCTCGTAGTTCATTATAAAATAAACATGGCTGATCGTCATTTGCGTGCAGGTTTCGTGGAGCTCTATTGTTTTAAAAATGAACTCGAGTACGATTCTGGGACATGGAGGAGATGCTAAACTGCAGATGTGGAGCTGTGGTGATTTAGTTTAGGCGGGGGGATGGTTCTGCAGAAGTTGGAACATTAGCCAAGGAGAGCACTGAGGACATTGGATTGGATTTCTGACAGCCCAAAAAAAAGAAGGCAATGAAGAATCACAATAATAGCAGACACGCAGAGGAGAGAGAGAGAGAGAGAAGAGGTTATTAATGCGCCATAAAAATGTCATAAAGACCTCAATCCGGAACACAAGAGCTCAAGGGAGAGAGAATGAGAGAGAAGAAGAAGAAGAAGAAAAGACACAGTACCTTGGACATACGTCTCCGGGTGAGCTTTACAGGGAGCAAGAAGAGGAAGAAAAAAGGAGAAGAGGATGTTAAAAAGGTGTGAAAAGACAGTCAACCTGAAATACGCATACAGAAACAAAGAGCTTTTTAGCACTGCTGGTAGATGTTGGTTCAAAAAAGCATCTTTCATAGCATAGACATTAAAAATGAGTAGTAATGCTAACTGACTTCTGCTTTCCCAAATAAATATGTGGAAAATAATTTTTTATAGTTGTAAATAAAAAAGATTACTGGAGTTCAAAAACAAACAAACAAAAATGGTTTCATCATTTCTACTTCAAAAGTTCATGTTTAATTCAAACTTTAATTCAAACTTGCCGTTTCTTTGAAATCATTTGTGAAATTTACTGGAAATTTCTGAGTGAAAATTGTTTCAAACTAAATCTAACACCAAATGTTTTTCGGTGTACAAAAACGAACACACAAGCACTGGAGTAAATAAAGCAAAAACACTTCCACCGAGCAGTCTTGGCATGGACTTGCATGGTTTTCAAAGCCCACCAATACCCTGCACAATCTTCTGCGACACCATTTATGGAATAAAATGAAAAACAACACCAGTAGAAAATGACTCACTCTTCCTGTTCAGTATTCACTGAGCGCTCCCCTAAATCGCTTCTCAAATGTGTGGCACTATCACTCATAATGCATAAAGTAAATAACATGGGCATCATGGGATTTACAGTACTGTTAGAAAACGGGGCCTCATATGCAAATACGAAATTGCATCCTGATGATTGACGTGGTCCAGGAATCCTACAGTATGTTTGCTATTTCACGTTTCACACTGTCATCACATCAGGTCTATTATCCTTGAGCCCCTCAGTATGCGAGTGAAATATTATATGGCCCTGACTGAGGGGGAAAAAAAAATGTGTGTGTGTTGGTGGAATACTGTATGGATAAGCTCTGAAGCTCTGAATCATCCGCATGTGTGTACAAGAGCAATCATCTCCTTCCTGTGGCTAAATGAAATGATTTCTGACAAGGCTTTGGGAGAAACCCTGTGTGGCGTGTCATAACATTACATATGCTAGGTCAGATCAAATCATCCTAAATGAATAGTCACCTTTTAATACAAGCATAACAATGCTGTTATGCTGAGGCTTCATTAGCTGGATTATGTTCTTAAGGAAGATACTCTTATGTGTGAATGGAAGACGAGTGTGTGTGGTTGAGACTGACTGAGAGGTTTTGCGCGTGTGCATGTGTGTGTGAGAGAGAGAGTGTGTGAGAGTGTACTGATTAAATTCCTCGGGTGTCTTGTTTCCACACACTCACTGTTATGTCTGGGAGATCCAGAACTTAGACAGTTGTAGAAGACCGAGCGGCGTATGTACTCCAGAATACACAGCGGGTTATGAAAACACAAGCTAACGCATGCTCCGAACTTGAAACTTGCCAGTGAGGGCAGCCAATTACTGGCTAATTACAACAAACTTTTGTTCATTTACATTGATGGTCCTGAGGGGAGATATATAGAGAGAGAGAGAGTAAGTGAAGGAGAAATGGAGGGGAAGGAAAAAATAGGCAATCATCCCTTTTATGGACATCAATACTTCATTATTTACGTGCACATTCAAAGAGCACTGATTAAAGTGACATTAATCTGGAAACAATTATACATCATGTCCAGCGTGGTTCAATCACTGTTCCTCCAAAGAGAAAAAGAGAGAGAGCCTATATTAATTTCCATTATCCTAATTGCGCTGCACAGCCACATGGCGGTATACATGCCCCCACAGCTGTCGGTATAGCTAGTGTGACATAAGGGCCAAACATGTGTTTTAATCACGTTCATGGGCACCTCAAGCCATCCCACAGAACCAATCAAATGTTAACAATGTGTCAGCCCTCTACCTGCCCGCCACCATAATGACAGGATAGTGCATGCCATCGCCTCTGCCGCCACCTCCATCTGCAGCATTCGGCAGACTGTGCGTCTGAATCCCATTCCCTTTTCAGAGCCTGCCTGGATTAATGTGCTGTGAAAGGGCGTTTCATTAATTAGTGATTGAGATGATAAAGCGTGGAGAATGATTTGTAGATGTACAGTGCGTGCTGTGTTTTTGTTTTAACTCTCCGTCTATCTGACATGGTTTGAAGTGAGGGGAGAATTGAGGGCACTGGAGATCAGGATGATGTAGTTGTGTGTTGGCATGCGTGTGCGCTATTGATTTCTTTGTCTGTACGCACGTGTGTGTGCGACGTGCGTGATAAACGGGAGGATTTGAAGGACAGGCGCTTCAATACTGCATAAATGGAAGCTGTTTGTTTTCGACTGCATGTGAGGTACTCTATCAGTCAAAGTTTGGAATAATTTGTTTTTGAAAGCACTCTCTTTTGCTTAACAAGTCTGCGTTATTTGGTCAAAATAGAGTAAAAACAGCAATATTGTCAATTATTATTACAATTCAAAACAAGTGTTTTCTATTTTAATATATTTTAAAATGTAATTTAAATTTTCAGCAGCTATTACTCCAATCTTTTTTTTATTTTTTATTGTATCACGTTAGTGTATCACGGTTTCAACAAAAATATTAAACAGCAAAAACTGTTTTCAACATTGATACGATTTTTTTTTTCTTGAGCACCAAATCAGCATATTAGAAGGATTTCTGAAGGATCATGTAACACTGATCCTGAAATAAAAAGGAATATCACAATGCGCAATATGGCAAATTTTGGGAAAAAAAGTCCTGCCTTTAAATTGAAACAGCCAATGACCAAGAATTTTTTGCTCTATGATGTGCATGTCTATCAGCTGGACAAATCTAAAAACTATAGATTTGTTGTCAGACTTTAGCTATAAGAGTAAAATTTGTGATACTATGGTTGTCAGAATTTATTTGTGATTTGACATGAAACCTAACCTTGGCAAGCAGTTTGGAGATTTCGGTCTCTCCTCATTCAGCTTGCATGACTACAAAATAGGTAATTTTGGAGTCAATTTGTGCACTTTTAAAGTATAAAAGTTTGACAAAATTATTTTGGATGCATCTTATTTTGGATACATCTTCGTATACACACACACACACACATAAAGAGGGGCTCCTGCAGGGTTGATTGATGTCTGTGCACAGCTTGCTGTAATCCATGGCTTTCTCACAGTAAGAGTTGCGCTTCTGATGAATGATCTGGAAGGGCCCAAGGCCTAATGAAGCATACAAGTCTTAATAAAAAATCTCAAATGTCTGGCAGTGGAAGCTTCTGACAAGCCACACTTCACAAAAAAATATATTTTCTTTAGTCATAAAGAGTCTTTAAAGAGCTATTACTAAGAAAATGGGCTCACATGAGTATCTTGTTTCAGAATATGCACCATTTATTCATATTATATAACATGCTAGTATTGTGATTCATCATATTCCTAAACTTGTTTACTAAAGTGAATGCATAAGCTCAGAGGATGAAATATCCATCGTATAACCTAACAACCTACACCAGTGTCACTCAGTTCACTTAGTAGTTAATTTCAGTGAAGCAACTATTAATAAGGGAGAAACGAAAATATCCAAAACAGCTACGATTACTGCATGTTGTGCTATAGTGGACTAATGCTGTCTTTGGTTACGGTCTCACAAAATCTAGCTAACTGCTACAAGTAGGCGCTGCTAAGATACACAAAAAGGTACTAAATGTAGCTCAACCCATTAAATGGAGCATGCTCTGAGAAGTCCTGTTAACAACTCCTGAAATAACCAGTAATCTAAAAAGAGCATCTCAGTCTCCGACAAGAGAAAGTGCAGTTGGCAGAAAGTGTGTTTTGGGTGTCTGTGTCGTGAGAAATATTTCACGCTTCTGCTCTCCTTCTCCCCCTCTCATGAAGCTCCCCAATCATTTACAAATTAATAAACAGATCTGTGTCACACTAAGCTAAATCAAACAGTCGTCTTTTAAAAGTCTGCTGTACTGTCTGGATAAGTTCACATTACAGACCCTAATATTCAGTTAGGATTAGGGCTGGGTGATATATTGAATACTCTAGATTTTGCCAAATATATAAAATTACGCAGCATTGTGAATATCGCAGTATAAATCAGCTTTTTATATGGGCATTAAGTTTCCTAAAGAGCATGTCATTACACTAGTTTTACGATCTTTCCTTGTCTTGCAGCTGGTGTGGACGAGAGATGTTTTAATATATTTATACTTCAGTGAAAGAACGGTGTAAGTGTTTGATTCATTTCCTTGAATCAGTTCAAACTGTACATTTCCATGAATTACATCTAAAATGTAATTCATTTTAGTGTCCAATCCATACAGCTCAGAAAAAATAAAATATTGTCATATTTTGACAAAAATGAATTGAGGCCACTATCACCATGTAGTATGTAACTTATGATTTTAAACAACCCTTACATTTTAAATATTTAAGCAAGACTTCATGTAATAACAATAAAATACACAGTGAAAATGTCTGGATGCTGCTGGTCAGTGTGAGAGCTGTCTTACAGTACCTGTGTCTGGCGTCTTTGTGTGAAAGAATGATGATGCAAGTATGTTGTAATGCAGGGGTGTTTGTGTGTGGAGTGAGTAGATGTAGAGGGACAGGGAAGGTCACACACACAAACACACAACTCACACACACACACACCCCTATGTGGAACCAAGAGGCCCCTTATCTCAGTCTGACACATATGATGTATGAGGTACCATAACTCTTTTAGCTCCCTCTTGTGCTCTCTCTCAAACACACACACACACACACACCTCCACCTCCTGCAATGCATACACTTAGCAAAGAGGGACGACGTATCAATCTTGGCCTAAAGAGATATATTCAGTCATTCAATTTCTAGAAGGCCACACACAAAGTAAACAAACCTGGAAAGTGTTTTGCACAGAAATGCATTATACTGCATAAATTTAAATTTTAAGCGTGTAAATTTTTTTATGTTAAAATACTTTCTCTTATCCCATCTCAACATACAGGGACAACTATAAGTATGCCATATGTAGGATAATTTCTCTGAAAAGTGTCAACACATTGCTCTTTTTGTTTGAGCAGTCAGACAGCAACATTGGCTCAACCAATGGCGTGAGTATAGGGCAGGACAATTTGTTTGGCTGACCAATGACAAATGAGGTGAGTGTTCAGCAAACATGTTTGATAACAGTCATTATGTTTGCAATTCCATCTGGTTATACTAGCGGTACAGAAATTGCATACACACTTTAGCTTTAATGAAACTGTCAAATTGACCAGTCCATTAAAGACACTGACATGTAATTTAAATTATGGTCTCCTAGAGGTTTATGGCCATTTATAATGCTAAAACATAGAGCAACAAGGTCATTAAGTGATCAAACTCAGCGAGTATTTCTGCTCTGTAAAGTTTAAAGTCAGGGTGAGAGTGTGGTGTGTGGGTGGCTGGCTTGAACAGAAGAGCATGACAGAATTACGTGCTAACCGTGCTAATTTGGAAGACGAATAGCAAAATGCTGGCCAGATTCTCATAAAGCTGCCCGGCGAAACAGGCCTGCTTGCTAACCAGGCTGCGTACCTCGAGCGCTCGTGTTGAGTAATGGAGCAGCTGACGTACCCTGCTGAGAGTTGAGTTGGTGGAGGATGTAGCCAACACACTAACAACATGAACAGATTTAGTGACTGACGGTTAAGCAACATGTAGATTTTGAGTTTGAGATACAAGAAGAACAGAGGAATTTTATTTAAAACGTTATATATATATATATATATACACACAGTGCTGCTAGAATTGTCTATATTTCTGCATAAATATAACCCAAAAAATCATCAGATTTTCATGCAAGAATTCATGCATGCTTTGTCCTGAAAGTTGACAAAGAGAACCCAGTCAAACAAATGAGATGAAAATATATACTTTGTCATTTATTTATTCAGGAAAATGATCCAATATTACATATCTGTGAGCGGCAAAAGTATGTGAATCTCTAGGATTAGCTGTTAATTTGAAGGTGAAATTAGAGTCCATCTGTTCAGAAGTGTTTTTAATCAGTGAGATGACTATCAGGTGTCAGTGTGTGTCCTGTTTTATTTAAAGAACAGGGTTTGTGGAAGTGTATCACGGCACAAACAAATTAGATCTTTGAGGACCCCAGAAAAAGAGTTGGTGCTGCTCAACAGGCTAGAAAAGGTTTCAAAGCCATCTCTAAAGAGTTTGGACTCCACCAATCCACAGTCAGACAGATTGTGTACAAATGGAGGAAATTCAAGACCACTGTTACCCTCCCCAGGAGTGGTCCACCAACAAAGAACACTCTAAAAGCAAGACGAGTAAAAGTCCACTAGGTTTCAAAGGACTGCAGGCTAACTTCTAAGTAACTAAAGGCCTTTCTCACATTGGATAATGTTAATGTTTATGAGTCCATCATCAGGAGAACACTGAACAACCATGGTGTACATGTCAGAGTCGCTATATATATAAAATACTTTACTAATATATAATACTTTTTTATAAATATACAAATATACCATGACTTTGTTTCTTTGAGATTTAACTAATGCACAGAGTTTAGTGATTGTGTAAGGAGACCTTGCTGTCGTTTAGAATAGGTGTTTCCCTGTGGATGCCTAAATCAACGGCAATGAAAATGTCATTGCTTTGATAGCAAGCAAAGGTCAGGGGGAAGGTACAAAACAGAACAAACACTCATAGCCCACTTCCTGTTGAGATGGAAGAGCCAAAGCAGGTGGAGGAAAGGCAGAAAAACAAAGGGAATATGCAATCAAAACAAGTTCAAAGATGTGAGGTAAACCTTCATAACAAATATAGCAAATAGCTTCAATACAAACGCATCAAAACCAGCTGGAAAAAATCAGAGAAAATACTGTGTACACATCATGCAAGTACACTATATGGCAAACAAAGAATGTGGACACCTAAACACCATCCATATGTACTTGTTTAGCATTTAATTTCAAAACCTTTGGCATAAAGTTTTCACTCCTATTTCTTACATTTTTCTGAGAAGCCTTTCCACTAGATGTTGCAATATAGCGGTGGGATTTGCTCCCATTCAGACACAAGAGAAATCAGCAAGGTCAGATGCTGATGTTAGGCAATGGGCCCTTCCAAATTCATCCCAAAGGTTTTCAGTGGAGTTCAGGTCTGGGTTTTGAGCAGGCTAGTCGAGTTCTTCCACACCAGACTTAATTTTATTGAATTAGCTTACACACAGGAGCATGTTATGCTGGATCAATAAAAGGCCTCTGAAATTCATTTGAATTAAGAAGCCAAATTTGTTAAAAAAACAGTGTATCCATATTCTTTTGGCCATGTAGTGTGCTAATACTGACAAACGGATGATTATGTGTCTTACCAACGGTGCAATGTTCTCCGGTCCAGCCCTGGTGACATTCGCATTTGCCGTCCTTGCAGGTACCGTGTTCAGTGCAGCGTGAGTGACAAGCTTTCAGATCGCATACCGAACCGGTCCAGCCCTCTTCACAGCGACAGCTTCCTCCAATACACACACCGTGAGAGCCACAGTCCACTGCACACACCTCTGCAAACACAAACAAAGGCGAAAAAAATTCAAATCACTTTTTGGTCTGGGCTGCAGCATAGGTAAGGACTATAAAAGGTCATGTGTTCTACAACATGGTAGCACATTTCAAGCACAAGTCTCCTCTACTCAAAACAACAAGAGCAGAGGTTACATTCCTGAGAACAGTCATGTCTAAGTTATTGACTTTAAGTGTGAAAAACTTATGACAGGAAATAGATAATTGCGGACCCCTGCTGGGTCAAGCGGCCTGTGTGGCGGTGTGGAAGGAGATTTTCTGCCACACCTCAACCGACACCCCATAACATATCTCATATATCTCGACATATCTCGACCTTGTCTGACCCACTGGAGTGCGTGCGCTCCTCATGGAGACTTTGGCGGAAGGGTACTGGCTAAAGGTGTGTGACTGGGGGAAGGGAAGGAGACATCACAGCGTGCAGACATGGATGTGAATTGACACACTGAACTTTCCACCCGGACCCAGAAGACAGGCCTCCCACATAGATTGAAGAAAACACATCAAGCCCAAATAAATCAATTTATACACACTCCACGGTCTGTCAAACATCAGGAGTGCGTTTGAATGGCTTTTGGGATCGAAGCTATTATGGAAGTGCTTTATTAGCATTTCTCTTTGCAGGTTTGTACTCTTCATTTTTTTTTTTGCCATGTTTACAGAAAAAGATTCTCAATTGACAAAAGCTTCCATAAAGAAATTGCACTTTTTTGTCAATAGAAACTAGTTTCGTGTTTGTCATACCTGGGCGTGGATGCAACTGGCAACAAAAGCTGATGTGGGAAAATTGGGTGCATTTTGAATGATATCCTGCGAAAAGTGTCTGATAGTGATTTGGAATCGGTTTATGAGTTTGTGAACGTGCGCCTGTAGACGTGTGTGGGTTTGGCAGAACAGTAGATGAAGACAGACTGGCGCAAAGCAAGCTGTAGTTTAACAGCCCACACACCATTCCACCAGAGCCTCGCAGCCTGACACACCCTGTCACGGAAGAAACAAAGCACTAGAAAGACATTTCTTGATAAAGACAAAATCATGGGATGGGGTATTGTTAAACACCTTCCCTCAACCACCTCTCTGACTCTTTTTGCAGCACTTCCTGACAAGGTGTGAAACCATGACATGACACTCAGCCAGAGCTGCTGAAAGTGTATTGAGACAAGGAAACTGAAGTGAAGAAATAGAGAGAATTTTCCATCAACCCTTGGGTCAGGTGAGTGCCAGTTTGTGGTTGACTTCCCTGCTGCGTGCTGTTATTATGCCTCCTGCAGGTGGACAGGAGTGACGCACCCTTTCGGCGTGTATGTGTGGGCGCCTGTGTGTTTTATCCTTCATCAGACGAAACTCTGCTGAAGTTCACCTCAGTTTCCTCAGAGCGGGAATGTGATTGAAAGAGAGAGAGACTGCGTACAAGGAAAAAGTTCACACAGACAGATGGAGAGCAGCTGCTGGGAAGTGCTTCTGGAAAACTGACGGCTCGAGCCACAAGCCGGCTGCAACTGTACTATATCAATCTGGATTACTGTCTTTGCAGAAGTTGCGGCCAGAGTGTGTGGACCGATTGCCTAAATGTGTCCCTGTTGCACAGGGCGTCATGCACCTAATTTTATGAGGGGCCATTCCTGGCTTATTTGGTGTCCTAGGTGAAACATGACATTTTTAACCATCTTAGCTCTTTATATAATTATAAGAAGGGTTAGTTTAGTACATTGATTCTCAATGTGCTTTGTTAAATCTGTAAAACAGAAAAATTAATAGACTAAAAAGCAAAACAGCTATCATAATTAATATTATGGTTCGGTAACTCTTTCATATTCAGTTCATTAACATAAGTCAACGCATTAAATATCAAGAACTAACAATGAACATTTTTACAGCATGTACAGTATTAATAGTCTGTAAATGTATAAATACACTAATGTTCATTGCTCATTTATGTTTGTTCATAATACATTAAATACTTTTAATTTAAACCTTAGTTTATTATAACTAAAATTATAACCTGAAAAGTTAGTTTGTTCATAATACATGAACCAAATGTTAAATTATACATTCATTTATGAAGTTAAACTGTTAAAAGATGTATTAGAGTACACAGAAATGATCAAAACTAACAAATGCCACTAAGCAGTGTTGTTCTATATTTCCTGTTCTCCATTGTATTAACAACAATAACTTTATTGTAAAGCGTTACCCATGAATATTTCCAGTTTCTTTTGTTTCTTTAAAATAATTGTAACAATAATAATAATGATATTGCTAAATGATATCTAATATGTATAATTTGAATTAAAAAGAACATTTCAGATTTTTTGGCTCGAAAAAAAAAAAATCTGAGGGGGCACATGTGTGAATAGCCATGACACTTCTGTAGACACATGCCTTCCTCTCGCCCTCTGTATTTAATTTTTCTCACCCTATCATTATCTAAGACAAAAGGGGCATTACTAATTTTATCAGCGTTTTTGAGAGCATTGTCGTCTATTCAATCAAAACCCGTCCCAACACTAAAGGCGTTTATCAGCATTTACCACATCACAGCACTGCAGCCGTCAACGTGACAGAGGGGGAGCATGCAGGCCTCATTCATTAGCACTGCACTAATTGAAGATGTACGTCTAATTAATGGAAGGGAGGGAAGTGATGGTCTACAAAGACATCAGGTAGTTCTTCCTCAATCGAAAAGGGATAGGAAAGAAAAGGACAGAGAGAAAAAGCAAGAGTGAGAGAGAGATTGCTGTGTGGGGCTCTTGAGTGAAATAGTATTTTCATTAGACACAGATTGCTGCTGGGAAAATAGCATTGTATAACTAAAAGGCCGACCATGGGTGAGTCCTAAAACAGCAGGAGTCCAATACTGCTCTTATTACGGAGATCAGTATCGTCACTTGCACAAACATAAGATGTGCACACACATACCACACTAGCTGCCGCTGAGCTTTTGATGGACTGAGAGATATTTCATAATGATAGTGTATTTAAGGTTGACTCAAACGCGCCTTTTAGAAGGTCTGCTGACAGATTAAATAGAGAGGAGGACAGAAAATCTAAAATAACAGCCTGTTAATGCCCTTAACAACAATAAGCAGCTATTCAGTGTATAAAACAAAGCATGATAAAAATAATACAGTGGAAAGAACAACATATTAAAGAGGTGGGTGCAGAAGTGTATAAAAAGTACCGATGGAGCAATCGGGTCCAGTCCAGTTGGTGTCACAGGTGCAGGTGCCGCTCTCCGTCTGGTAGGTTCCGTGTCCCGAGCACTGGTCTGGGCACATAGTCTTCAGGATCTCACAGTTGTTGCCGCCCCATCCTGGATTGCAGTGGCACTCTCCGTGAATGCACACTCCATGAGATGAACAGGAGGGGTCCAGGCAGTCCACTGTGTGCGTTTGGGGAAAAAAGCAAAAAGTCTTAGTTAGCAGGTTAGCAAAACCATGCATGCATTATTTTTTAATCAACTTTCTTGCATAAAGACTTTATTAGTAAAAACAAAAATAGACTTTGAAATAATAAATGGAGGAGTCTTTTCAGGTCACTTTGTACGAAGGGCAACACTATGCAGTAATGGAACGAAATTAAAAATGTTGTGGCTACATGAAAGTCTAAGAAGTGACTCCTAGCTTAAATTATTGTTTTACTTAAAATGTTAACATGCTTATACAATGTTAATATTTTACAAAAAAGTAAATAGACAGTACTTAATACTTTAATACTAAATAGACAGTTACTAAAATAATAGAAAAGACAAAAACAACATCAAATAAACATAACATTACTGCAATATTCTCGTTTGCTGTATCCATATCCATTCTACTATTGCACTTGCTTTTAGACAAATTTCAGCAACAACTCAAATAATTTATACCATTCTAAATGATAAAAAAATTGTTATGCTCTAACAAATGCGAATCAGGTCACATAAAAAAAAAAGCCAGGATGTACTGTTTTTTTATTGTCTTATGCATAAATGCATTGTTTGCTTGCAAAGTAAATAAAATGAGTTTGTTAACCTTAGGGAACATTGCGCAATAGTAGGTTAATGTGAAAAATATGTGATGTTTTTACAGTAATACATTATTTTTTTTAATTCTCTCATCTCAATGGAATCCATCATGCTAATGTCAAAGTGTGCATAGCATAAGCTTCACATTATATGGCTCTCAAAACCCCCCTGTTCCAGTGCACACACATTATAAGCAGATTCAGACAGTACATGTAGCAAAGCATGATCTGTGTGCTGCTCAATGTGTTCTCAAAGAATGTGCTAGAGATCTTTTATTCTCGTAGGCAGAAGTCCACTGCTTTCCCACAGATGGAAAAGCAGTTTTTAGGTGACTGCAGAGCAAGCAGGGCTGAATTTGCAGAGTGGGACAGTGCTACACATTCCTTTTCAAAAGCCATGAGGGGCTACTGTGCAGGTGTGTTTGTGTGTGTGTTTATGTTTAATAGCCCCTGCTAGAGGGCTGAGGTTCAGCAACCCTTAATTCCTCTGATTGTGTGGTAGTTGATGGGGCTTAATCCTTCCATTGATTGACAACAGGCCAATTCATGACCAGAACATTTCTGGCCGCATTTTTAACATATTATCCCTATATAAATTGCATTAGCCGGTCTCTCTCTAGATATAGAGATGTATGTGTTTTGTTGCTTGTGCCAAATCATTACAATCGAGCTGCAGGAATGGAATCTTTTTGGCTTAGAGAAAAAAAAATAAACAAAGCGCACTGTGTGCTCTACAAGCTGCGTGCCGAGTCACGGTAGCATAAACACTATGCACAAAGCTAATTTTCTTAATTAAGAAAAATCAATTGTAATCTAGCATTTTTCCCACTCACGAGGCTGATGGGTAAGGGACCTGCGCATCAGTGGGGACATCAATGTAATTATTTGCTCTGTGAAGTGGAGAATGGCAATTGTTTCTGGAATATTGAACTATTAACTCGTGGGTAATGATTATTGCAGGGACAGTAAATTATCAAAGAAGGTCACAGGAGGAAGAGTCCCTTTGATGGCTACAGACAAGGCGTTAGGCTCCTCATTAAGCAAAGTGATGCTGAAAGGCGATATGAACTGGACAGAATTTTCTCTCTCTCAAACACTCAAATAAGCCCTTCTGTATCACTCTTGCACTTGCTCTCTCTCTCTTTTTATCAGGTCTGGTGAAAAGCCTGTCCGTGTCCGCTGAGACGGAGCTTTCAAACACTTCTAGAGGAAAAAAAAAATTAATCCCCCTCGAACCAATGGGTAATCAGCGATCACGTTGATAACACATTATCTTGCACATCTTTGATGGTGTAATGCAGTGGGGTTTAATGGCAAGAATGCTGGAAATAGCAGTGTTAGATAAATGCTTCCATTAGGGCTTCTGATGGGTCTCTTATGAACTGAGACTTGAGATGCTGGAGATGTCTGCAAGGAGGGAAACAGATGAAAAATTCTGCTGAACTCTGCATGACAAATAAACTGTTTTTTAACATCAGGCCACTGAATGGAGGGTTTGCTGTGAAGTTGGAAAACATGGTCTCTTAAGAGACACAAGAAATAACAATCAGTTTTTGATGTTAAAATATTTTCTTCAAATACTGAAGCAGGGATATTGAAGTAAGCAGATAGGATAGTTTGCTTCACAAAACCACTGGTGGTTGATTTGTATCCCTGACCTTCTTCACAGTTGTCTCCTTTATAGCCTGTGTTGCAGGCGCAGGTGCCCATAATGCAGATTCCGTGTCCGCTGCAGTGAATATCGATGCACTGGCTGCTAGGAACGTCACACTCTGTCCCCTTCCAGCCGCTGTAACAAAGACAGCGCCCCCTGGAGTACTGCCCATTGCCACTACACAGCACTGGACAAGCGGCTTTGAATAGAAAAACAAAAAGCAATTGGGGAAATAAGATAAAGGACAGAAAATAGTTTATGACAATCATATCATTCAACAGGTGAAGTTTTCAAGCGATTTCTTTATAGATCTTCTACTGTATAAGCTCTAAACGCTTGTAAGCCAGACAGAGACAAAGAAAATGCAAGCAAACAGATGAGAAAAAAAAAACACCATCACCAAATATATAAACAAAACAAATACAATAAAAACTAATTGTTGCTTCTTCCTGGTAATAAGAAGTCATTCAGGCTTGGGAATTGAGTCCCACCAAAAGCGTACTAGCCAGCCGTACTTGCTCAAATGACAATCTGAAACCAATTATGAATAGTGACATTGGTTGTTTATTTCTCTGGAGAGTCATGTGTGTGTGTGCACGTGAGTAAGAGAGCATACCTCGTGAGCAATCAGGCCCAAGGAACCCTGGGAAACAATGGCATGTTCCCGAGCGACAGTCTCCGTTACCATGGCAATTGTGTGGACACTCTGTGAGGGTATCTGGGGGGAAAGAATGAAAGTGTGTGAGAGTGAGTCACAGTAAGAAAGAAGGCGAGAGAGGAATGGAGAGTGAGAAAAGCACTAATTGAGGAGACAGTCTGTGGAAATTAGCAGACATTCAGACCCCCCCCACCTTTAATTAAAGGAGTGCCAGATGCGTGATTAACAAAAACCTGCATCTAAGCTTACTCTGCCTTAATGAACCAATCAGAGCATTATTACCACCAATTAGCAGCCAGACGCTCTGCTCGGAGCTTTCTTTACACTGCTGGATGGCCATTAAAACACACATACGTTTGTTTTTCTGTCATAGTGGGGACTTTCCATTGAATTTTGTTTTTATATGGTAAATAATGATGATTGTCTGTCATTTAACCCTAAATATAAAACTTACAGAAACCTTCCTGAAAATGTTCATGTTCATAAAGACATTATTTAGCATGAATAAGCATCATGTCAACTGCAGCTGGTCCCCACAATGCAAACAAAACCTGATGCGTGCACACACAATACACAAAGTTGTTTACACACATCGCTCCTTTGACAGTCTACATTTATATGCTAAAAACACATAAGGAACTGTGCTAGAACAGAAGGCAAAAACCATTTAACATTAACATTCTATTTCTTATAAGCAGTAATACATATTGCTTTGACATCAGCACATTAAGGTAATGTTGTTAACATTCAGTAGCGTACACAAATAGCTGTAAACAAAGCTGTCTCTCTGTGCAAAACGTAGTCTTTGATTCATTCTTGAATGAATCAGAGTTTTTGAATGAATCCTTAGACTGAATGATTCAGTGGCACACTCTTAAAGGGGTTATATGATGCGATTTCAAGCTTTCCTTTCTCTTTGGAGTGTTACAAGCTGTTCGTGAATAGATAAGATCCCTAAAGTTGCAAAGACTAAAGTCTCAAACCCAAAGAGATATTCTTTATAAAAGTTAAGACTCGTCCATGCCCTCCTAAAACGCCTCGTTTAAACTCCCCCACATGTCTACGTCACGATGTGGGAAGATTTGCATAACGCCGCCCAAATGAAGGAAAAGAAAGAAAGAAGGCGTAACTTTATTGTTGCTGCCGCCGCCGCCTCCATGTCGTGAAGACGCTGTTTCGTTGTGAAAGCGAAACTACCTTGTTTGGTCTTCCAAAGGAGGACACAACTAGAAATCAGTGGTTAAGTTGTATTTGCAACACTGTTCCAGAACAGTTCAACCCAAATATTACAAAATAATGTTCTTTTTTAGCAACGTCATATGACCCCTTTAAATAGAGTCATTTATCGTCACCTACTGGTGAAACGACGTAACCTACTGGTGAAACATAATTCCTTATTTCAAGTGTAATATATAATGTAAGCACACTTCGAGTACCTTACTGCTTTTATAAAACGGCTATCACACAATACAAATATTAAAACCAAAAATGTATGTATTGATATGTTACTTTTTTGAAGCAAGTTCGTTAAATGCTGTCCTTCCACTAAAAAATAGTTCCTGACAGCAACAGTAAATGGCAAGAGAACGTTCAGAACATGCCTCATCTAATGGAGCTTAAATAAAAACAGAGAATAGGAGCTCTTATCC